GGTGCTATGAACTGGCTCAGCCCAGCTCATCCCTAGACCTGATCCACACGTATGTCAGCAGGTAATGTAACCTGGTCTGGTCTGGGCTGCTCCTAACTTTGGCTCTTGAGCTCACCTGCAGGGACTGTATCCTGGCAAAGGAGTTCCCAAGCTCCTCCATGCGGTGCCTCTCAGTTGCAGATCTTGCACACACTGGTGGGTTCTTGGTCCAGCCTGACTTGGTCCACCTCCTGTACTGGCAGGCACACTGACCTTGCCCAACCAGCCCATGCCCATTCTGGCTTTAACCTTTGGGTGCTACAGCCCAGCCCTGCCTGGCTCACACCCAGACCCAGCCCTCATGTGGTTCAGCAGGTGCCAAGACCTAGTCCAACCTGTCCTACACCCACTCTGGCTCTTGCAGGCACCAGCGGTTGTGGTGCTGGAGCACAGCCCAGTCTGGTACAGCATAGGGATGGGGATGGTGGGGTTTTGGGGTGAAAGGGAAAGCTCTTCATTGGAGCACAGGCTACATGCTGGGTGCAACATGTGATGTGCATGTTTTAGCAGGGCACACTGTGGTGGTGCACATGTGTGAACTGCATACTTCAGTGGGGCACACTGACTGTGGGGGTACACAAGTGTGACCTGCACACTTCAGCGGGGCACACTGTGGGTGCACACGTGAGAACTGAACACTCCAGTGTGGCATCCTGGCTGTGGGTTGCACATATGAGAACTGAACACTCCAGTGTGGCATGCTGGCTGTGGGTTGCACACGTGTTAACTGAACACTCCAGTATGGCATGCTGGCTGTGGGTTGCACACGTGTGACCTGCACACTTCAGCTGGGCACACAGACTGCGGGGCACTTGTACAGAGGACATGCTTCACAAGGGCACTAGGTCAGAGGCGAAGCCAGGAGTCGCAGGAACAGATTTACCTCCCATAGATGGTGGCCTTGGGTGCTGCCAGGCTGGGGTGGGGGTTGTGGCAAGGGGCTCTCAGCAGCAGCAGCCCCAAGAGAGCAGATGTCAGAGAGTCCATCTGGAGCTGGTGTCCAGTGAGGGTGTTTGTTGAGGAGGCTTTGTGTACAGACCGCGGTGCCTGGCCTCTGACCCTGCTGGTCTGGTGTGGCCAGAGCCCTGGACCGCAGCATCCACTAAGCAATCAGAAGAGATTTCAGGGCTCCATAAGGAAAAGCTGGGCAGGGTGGGGGCGGGGAGAGTCAGCGTGACGCTTGATGGGGACTTTCCACCTCTGTGGGCATGCGAAAGCAGCTCTGGGCTCCCCCTGGAGACCGGGGGCCCATCAGAGGTCAGTAAGCAGGATCAGACGGACCAGAGGGGTTGTGAGCTTTCAGCGCAGAAACCCTGAAGCGTGGCTGAGCTTCACAAGGGCAACTGAGAGGGGCTGGGCTTTTCAGCTTGCTGGCTTCCTGCACCAGGCTGTTTTGCTGAGAGTCTCCTGGCACCCCATAGTTAGCATGCAGCCCACGAGTTGTTCATCACAGGCAAGCAAAGCATGGAACCCTTGCCTCTCTGCGGAGACACCCTGCCCTCGGGCCCAGGAGAAGCCACTCCCAGCTCTCGCTACCAGCCAGCTTCTGGCATCCCTGCGTTTGCCGCCTCTATGGGCTTGCACACTCTGGACCCTTCCAATTGACGCAATCCTCCAACATGATCTTGGGTTCCCGATATTTCCAGGGTTCACCCCTCTTGTAAACTTCATTCCCATGTCTGCAGAGTCTTAAACGAAACTCTTGTGGGGCTAGTGCCATGGCAAACCAGGCTGAGCCTCGACCTGCGGGGCCAGCATCCCATATGGCATGGGTTCTATAGTTCCAGCTGCTCCACTACTGATTTAGCTCCCTGCTGATGGGCCTGGGAAAGCAGCAGATGATGGCCCAAGTGCTTGAGCCCTGCACCCACATGGGAGACCCAGCTGAAGCTCCTGACTCCTGGCTGCAGCTTGGCTCTGCCCTGACCACGCAGCCAACTGGGGAGTGAACCGACAGATGGAAGATTCTCTCATTCTCCTAACCACCCCCTCGTTGCCTTTCAATTAAATAACCAAATCTTGAAAGAAGAAAAGAAAAACCTTCGGATTTGAAATCTCAGTCTTCAGGAAGCTGAGAGCCTTGCTTCACTTTCCCTTGCACGCCCCTGAAAATCATTTGGCTCTTGTCCCTTCTCTGCAGAGGACTCCTTGGCAGCTCTGGCTGGAGTCGTTCCCGCTGCGTATTGTGTGCCAAAAATGGCCACCTCAGGGCTCCTGTGACCTTTGCAGAGGCATCTCGAGGCAGAGGCCTTGTAGGGGGATGTCTGTACATTAGCTGTGTAGATCCAGAGGCAGGTGCCAAGATCTCCAGGGCTGCAGTGGGAGGCCTCACCCATGAGCTCCACAGCAGAGGGGCAGGGAGATGTAGAGGTTGCCAGCAGAAACTTCTGGGCTGGGTAGCTGCTCCCCTCAGGGCCCCCCAGAACCATTTGCCAGCCTGAGTGGCCTCTGGAGGCACCTGCCACCGATCTGAAGGCCATGTGGCTCATCCGTGGTGGTCAGGAAGCTTCCAGGACCCTGGGGACTGGGCAGTTCCTTTATCTCCGCATTCATGGGCTCCTCTCGCAGCCCAGCATCCTGGCTGCACCTGCCTGCTACTTCAGGTGCTGATGTGATGAGCAGGCTGATCCACTGCTGCACTTGGCTCTGAATGTTGCAGTGTTGGGAGGGGACTTGAGGGGAGAAGTCCCAGACACCAGGGTCCTGCTCCCACCGGTCAGCCCGTGGTGTTCTTACAGACACGTGCGCTCATCTCATCCTTTCTCCTTCTGCCACAGCACTACACAGCATAAATGCCCTGCCTGGATGCCACTGCTGTGTTCCGGACTGTCCTGCCTGCAGCACATGTTCATGTGCCGTATACATGACCCAGTGCCTGGGCTTCTGCTAGAACAGCATAGAAAGAACCAGGACACCTGCTCTCTGGCCCGTGCGATGGGGTAGCAGGCTGTCTCCACCTGTGACGGTAGCATCCCATATGGGTGCCAGTTCGTGTCCTAGCCAGCTTTCTGCTAACGTACCTAGGAAGCGGCAGAAGACGGCCCAAGTACTTGCGCCCCTGCACCCACATGGGAGACCTGGAAGAAGCTCCTGGCTCCTGCCTTTGGCCTGGGTTAGCCCCAGCTGTGGCAGTCACTTTGGGAGTGAAGTAGCAGATGGAAGATTTCTCTCTGTAACTCTTTCAAATAAAAACAAGCAATTTTCCCCTAAAACATTAGCTTATGTATTTGAAAGGTAGAATGACAGAGAACAGACAGAACAGTATCTTCTACCCATTGGTTTACTCTACTCTGCAAATGGCTGCAACAAGCCGGGAGCCTGGAACCCCACCCAGGTCTCCCATGTGCGGTGCAGCTACCCACACACTTCTCAGGTGCATCAATAGAGCTGAATCAGAAGTGGAGTGTCCGGGACTTGAACCAGTGTTCTGCCATGGGATGCCTGTCACATCAGCTATGGCCTCACCCACTGGACTGGCCTCAGCTGTTCCTTTATTCTAAGATAATTTCTGGGTGAATCCAAGAACCCAGAGGACCTGATCTGAACCCCTCACACAGCATAGCCTCCCTTCTTGAAGCTCCCTGGATGCTCAGAAGTTTGGGGATGTGCATTGCATCCCAGTGTAAGGTCCAGCTCCCCGGAAGCTGCCCCCCATGTCAGTCAGAATAACGGCCTCTGCCAGGCACCCATAACCCTGGAGCCGAGAGGGAGGCCTCACCCTGCTTCACTCCTGTAGGCCTCTTTCCAGATGAGCAGACTGCTGCCCCAAGAATTCCTCACATTTCAGTGTCTCCATACAAGGCATGCTAAGATGGCTGCAGCGGCTCTGTATGCGAGTGCTTGCCTCGGCCTCTGCCGGCTGTGCCGGTCACTGTGGAGACGCTCCCTGCCTCGGGGAGCTAGCTGCTTGTTCCAGTCATCCCGAACCTTATCCAAAAATGGTGAACACACTTGCCTACAGCCTTTCTGAAACGCTTCCAGAAGATCCGGCCAAACAATGGCTTGTTGTGGCTGCACGTGTTCAGGAGCACAGACTGGGAGTCTCTAAAGCTTTTTTTTTTTTCTTCAAAGATGAATTTCTTATTTGAAAAGCATAAAGACAGAGGGGAAGAGAAAGAGATGTTCATTTCTCCAATGGCTGGACTCACCCAGTGTGAAGCCACAGGGGGAGCAGGGGCCCAGGTGCCTGTGTCATGACCCAGTTGCAGCTGTAGGCAGCTGGCATAGAAGTGGAGCAGCCAGGACTCAAACCCGAGCTGATACGCAACCACGGTGTCTACACTGCTGTGGGTGTGTGTCTACACTGCTGCGGGTGTGTGTGTCTACACTGCTGTGGGTATGTGTGTGTCTACACCGCTGTAGGTATGTGTGCCTACACCGCTGTGGGTGTGTGTCTACACTGCTGTGGGTTGTGTCTACACTGCTGTAGGTGTGTGTCTACACTGCTGTGGGTGTGTGTGTGTCTACACTGCTGTAGGTATGTGTGCCTACACCGCTGTGGGTGTGTGTCTACACTGCTGTAGCTGTGTGTGTCTACACTGCTGCGGGTGTGTGAGTGTCTACACTGCTGTGGGTTGTGTCTACACTGCTGTGGGTGTGTGTCTACACTGCTGTGGGCTGTGTCTACACTGCTGTAGCTGTGTGTGTCTACACTGTTGTCACAGCTGTGTCTGCACCTTACCTGTGTCTTCTACCTGCTGGGCAGAGCTGCCCTGGGCACCTCCAGCCTGATGTCACCGCCCGCTCTAAGTGGACCCGCACGGCCTTCTTCTTGGCCTCCAGCCATGTCACCTGCTCTCAGTGAACCCACGACCTTCCTCTCGGCCTTCAGGCATCTTGGATTCCTTGCCTTTGCAGCTGGTCTTTTGATATTTAAACTGTTAGACGCTGTGGAAGGCAGGCATCGGGCAGGCACCTCACCAGAGCGCAGCAGTGCAGGGCCAGGCAGGAACAGGCCGCCCGCTACCTTGGCCCGGCCTCCCTGGCTCTGCTCCCACCCCGAGCTCGTCAAGAGGCCCGTCCAGGAGAGACCTCGTAAACCTTTTTATTGTGTGTATTGCACAGTCACCCGGGGAGCGGCAGGAGACACTGCGGTCCTGGAGTCCTGCTTCCTGTTGGCTGCCAACGGCTCACACAGTGGCACTTTTGCCAGGGACATGGTCAGTGTGTAAAACAGGGGCTCAGGCAGTTCTCACACTGACACACGCCACTTGAGCCAGGCTCACGCAGTTGCCTGGGAGCAGCATGACGGTCCCTGCAGAGGCTGGCCCACTGTCGCACATCATCCTATCTGCTCTGTGAGGAGGATGTGCAGAGCTTCGGCCTCTGGGGGACTTCCTGGCGCACCTCCCTGAGTGGGAGGACACTGGTTCGCTCTCAGGGCAAGGCCTGAGTCCCCCCTGGGGATGGTGGAAGCCTGCCTTATGAAGGAAATGAGTGCAGTGACAAAGACAACCACAAGGACCAGGACGATGGGGCCAGGACACAAGACAGGCTGGCTTACCGCCCCCCCACCCCCTGAATTGAGGTGGGGGGAGGCCCAGGCAGGGCCTGAGAGTCACTTCTGGCCCTGCACAGGGGCAGCTGGCGTGCAGACCCTCGCAGAGTCCCGGGGCCACCACAGGGAGGAGGGGCCGTGGCCCAAGCGCTGCTTCCTCCAGGATGAAGTCACCTGTTGGAGGGCGGGGGCCTGGACACAGATGCTGGCTGCGAGCGGCCCAGGCGGCTCAGCTGCTCCGCGCTGGGGCTCGTCTGTGGTTCAGGGAGTCGATGTAATGAAAGATGGCCCCCAGGGCCCAGCTGGTCTCCACGTTGTCAATCTTGCGTGTCAGCTTGAAGACAACCAAACAGAGTTGAGACGAGCCCATGCTGGACTGGGGCTGCCCTCACACCCTGTAGGGCCTGGGCAGTGCTCACCTTCAGCACCTTGTTCCTGGGAAAGCCGAACTCCTGCAGCAGCAGGCTGATGTAGGTGAGGTCCATGCACACGAACGGGCTGCTGCGTGGCTGCGTCTCCAGGGTCCGGCACACTGCGGGGACATGGGGGGACGCTCCAGATCAGCTACCTGGGAGGAACACCCCAACTCCACTGGCCAGGGAACCCTGTTTCAGCTCCTCCTTGTTCCTACTAGGCAAGGATGGGCTGCAAGGTCAGGTGCAGCAGGGACCCACTCGCTAGTCTTGGGGGGCACAGCAAAAAGCCACACCACCCCCCTCCAGATGTTAATCTACTCTTGCTCCTGGGGAAATGGGATTATCTCCACAGGCCTTCTTACAGAGTTCTGTCCTGTTGAAGGTTCACAGCGCCCTGTGTCCACAGGACATGCCAGGGAGAGACACGAAGATTGGGACAGAGAAAAGACAGTTTTATTCTTGGGCTCTGCAAATCAGGGGCCACAACCCAAAGGGCAGAACACTGATTGACATCAAGGCTTTGCAGATGAGGGGGTGCGGCTGGTGGAGGGTGGAGGCCAGCAGGAGGGCAGGGCAGGGGCTCCTGGGTGAGCCACCCGTGCTGCATCCCCACAGCTGCTGTACAGGGCCCAGGGCTCCATCAGGGCCACATGATGATGGTAGGTTAGCCAGCACAGCCCAGGGAGACGGCTGTGGCGGAGCAGCAGTGAGCAGGTGGTGAGCAGTGAGCCCAGGGACCCGTTCCCTATAGCCCTCTACAAAGCACTGGACAGCAGAGTTCCCAGCCACACTTCTGAAGGCCAGCTGCTTGCCAGAATCGCAAAGCAAGCCAGGGCTGCTGTGAGCACCACGTGGAGCCTGGCCTCGACTCGGACACCTAAGCCTGCTTCTCCCACAGCAGGCAGGACAGCAGCACTCACCATACTTGGCTGCCGTCTCGAAGTCTCCCACCACGAGGCTGCCGCCTTTCTCAGCATCTATGGGACCAAGACAGACAACCCCAGCTAAGGTGTGAGGCTGGCACCTGCGGCCTCCAACCCAAGGGCTCTGAGCCCCAGGGTGCAGATGGTAGGGGTTTTTGCTGTGGCCAGCCCTTCCGGTTGATTGTGGAGGGCAGCATGGCAGAGGATGTCTTGGGGGCTTGCTGCACACTCCGGTCCTGCAATAGCCACCCCAGGGAACTTGACTAGGACCTCTGAAGTTTGCAGACTGAGAATACTTGTAGGTGTAGAAAAGCCCAGGGGTCTAAATGCGTCCTGATCCATGGCACTGAGTTGGAGGCACTCTAGGACCTACTTGCCAAGTACAAAATAATAACTGAGTAATTGGGAAGTCAGTGAGGACGGGTCAGGGGTTGTGAGCATGGGGTAAGGGATGCAAAAGGGCCTCCCACCGCCTGTGTCAGGGTGCCCGGTGCCAGCCCCAGGAGATCCTTACTTCCCGTCTAGCTTTATGGACCCTGTACGTTCCTGCTCCAGCAAGGGGTGGGTCAAGCTCTCTCTGGGGGCCCCAAAAAGCAGCCTTGGAGACCAGCTCCCAGCTTCCCGGGCCAGTGCTGGGCCCTTGGCTTCCCTGCTGTGTGCTGGCCCTCCCAGCAGCCCACCAGTCAGAGCAGGGGATGACACCTCCCCTTCTGTGGGGTGGTGGGAACCCTTGATGCAACAGCTTGTCCAGACCTGGACAGACTTCCAGCTCCAGCACCCACGTCTGCCCCTATACGGAAACCGGACAGACTTTCTGGTAGGGTGAACATTTGAACCAGTGCATGGAATCTGTCTTTCAAACAAATAACTCTTTGTTTGTTTGTTTATTTGTTTAAACAAAATGAGAACTTAGGTTTGGCTCTGTGGTACAGCAGTTAGCCTGTCACTTGTGACACTGGTCCCGTATGAATGCTGTTCTGAGTCTCAGCTGCTCCACTTCCCGTCCAGCTCCCTGCTAACACACCTGGGAAGGCAGCAGAGGATCCCAAGGGGTCCTGCACCCACAGGGAAACCCTGGCTGCAGCTCCAGGTTCCTGGCTTCAGCCTGGCCCAGCTCTAGCTGTTAAAGCCATTTGGAAGATTTATGTCTCTCTAACTCTGTGTTTAAAAAAAAAATCATTTTTATCTGAAAGGCAGATTTACAAAGCAGGAGGGAGACAGAGATCTTCCATAACCCAGCTGCTCTGAAGACAGGAGCCCAGGGTTTTTTTTCGACCATCTGGGTATAGGGGCCCAAGGACTTGGGCCATCCTCTGCTGTTTTTCCAGGACATTATCAGGGAGCTGGATCGAAATGGAACAGCTGGGATTTGAAGGTGCCAATACGGGATGCCAGCTCCGCAGATGGAAGCTGCCCCAACCCTGCTTTTAAAATGAATATTAATAGTACTAACAAAACAAGGAGCATGTACTGGGGTGATCTGGAAGAAGTCAGCCTTCAGGGATGGGCAGCCCAGGGCCAGGGCACTTAGACTGTGCTCAAGGGAGAGAGGGGGAGGGGGATGCCCAGCCACAGCATGGCCAAGCAAGGGCAGGGGACTGCTGCCTTGTTCCTAGCGCTGGCTCTGGGGAGCTGGCAGGGTGCCCCAGGCAGGCAGGTGAAGTGGTCTGTCTTGGGTCAGCTACTCGGGGAGAGGGGGCATCTTCCTGCTGATCGGCCCACTCTCCCATTCAGCCCTGTCAGGGTGCCCTTGGGCCTCTGGGGAGCTAGAGTTGACATCCACTTCCTTCTGGGAGGTCTCGTGCTCAGCCCTGTTTCCACCCACAGTAGGGCATTCTCAGCTGACGTCACTAAGAACACCTGTGGTCTGTGCCCACTAATGCTTTGTAACCCTCTCTGGAATCTCCTCACAGGGTCTGGCTGCAGGGGACTTGAACACCTGGCCTTCCCTTCCCTGGCTCACTGGCCTAGAGGGAAGACCGTGCCACCTTCCCCAGAGCCTGGGCCCAGAGTGGATGCTGCGTGCAGAGTCCAGCAATATCATGAGCCAGTTCAGGGCGAGCCCTGTCGCCTAGCAGGCATAGCAGTCAGCAGCAAAGGGCTAGGACCTCCTCCTCCTCCCCAGAGTCCCACCCCCCAAGGCCTTGCCCACCATCCTGGTGCACCTGCTGTGGTGGGCCCAACCTCATTCTTACCGATGAGGCCGACGCTGGCCGCCAGGTCATAGTAGTAGGAAAAGGCATAGAACTCCACGTGCTTCACTTCCTCGGTGCGGTGCACTTTGTCCTGCAGGACCTCGGACACTCTGCGGGCACATGGCTCGTACAGGCTGGCTGTGGGAAGAACGCAAAGGTGGCAGCTAGCAGGCCTCAGCTCCTGCAGGCCAGCAGGACGAGAAGCCCTGAGAACACAGGTGCCAGGAGAGAGCAAGGCCAATACTGAGTGGCCTCCAGCGGGGCCTGGCCCAGGGCTCCCACTTACCCACACTCAGCACTGACCCTGCTCAGCACACCCCACTGACCACCTCCTCCCAGAGTCTCAGGGCAGGCCACTTCCCACACCTGTGCAGCTGGGCAGGACTCTCCAAAGGGTCATGGCCAGCTCTGGAGAGGGTCCTTATCCTGCCCAGGCTGCCCGCTCTCCTGCAGCCTTCCTTCCGGGGCAGCCCTGAGCTGGGGACTAAGAGCAGCTCTTCCGTCTGTCCTGCTCAGATCACACTGACCACTGCAGTGCAGCACACACAGCTGTTAGCCTGGGGCCACGAAGCTGCTGCTGTTCCACCCATCTTAGGTCAGGGCACCCGTTCTGTCCCCATTCCCACTCTTGCCACCTCCTCCCATACAGGCTTTCCCTGCTCAGCAATGCTCCCTGGTGTTCATTCTCTTCCAAGCTTGCTCCCGGCTCCTCCCACTGGGATGCCAGCTATGCTGTCCTGCCTGGCCCTGGGGGGACACCTCCTGTGCCTGCTGTCCAGTCCAAGGCCAGCATCTCACCATTTCTTTTTAGAAGAAATTAAAGGGCAGTTAGGAAAGACCGCCCAGGGTGCCCCTCCACTGACACATACACAAAGGGGCTGGGCAGCGCTCCTGGGCTGCTAGCCCAGACATGGCCCTGTGTTCTTGGAGCCAATGTCTTGGGCCAGGGCCTGCTGGCCCACGTAAGCGTTTGGACACAGACAAGGGAGCCTTGTGTGAGGTTCCAGGCAGGTTCCTGCAAAGGCCTTCTAGAAGGTTCTTTTGGAGCCTCCTGCATTTCTCAGGGCAAGGACAGGCTTGTCTGGGTGCCCCTCACCCCCAGTCTGGCAGCTTACCTGGGTATCCCCACCCCTACTTTGGCTGGCAGCTTACCTGGGTACCCCCACCCCCAGCCTAGCTGGCAGCTTACCTGGGTACCCCAACCCCCAGCCTGGCTGGCAGCAGCACTCTTACCTGGGTACCCCCACCCCCAGCCTAGCTGGCAGCTTACCTAGGTACCCCCACCCCTACTCTGGCTGGCAGCAGCACTTTTACCCGGGTACCCCCACCCCCAGCCTAGCTGGCAGCTTACCTAGGTACGCCCACCCGCAACCTGGTTGGCAGCTTCCCTGGGTACGCCCACCCCCAGCCTGGCTGGCAGCAGCACTCTTACCTGGGTACCACCACCCCTACTTTGGCTGGCAGCAACGTTCTTACCTGGGTACCCCCACCCGCAGCTTGGCTGGCAGCAGCACTTCCCTGGGTACCCCCACCCCCAGCCTAGCTGGCAGCTTACCTGGGTACCCCCACCCCTACTCTGGCTGGCAGCAACGTTCTTACCTGGGTACGCCCACCTGCAGCTTGGCTGGCAGCTTCCCTGGGTACGCCCACCCGCAGCCTGGCTGGCAGCTTCCCTGGGTATGCCCACCCGCAGCCTGGCTGGAAGCTTCCCTGGGTACACCTACCCGCAGCCTGGCTGGCAGCAGCACTCTTACCTGGGTACCCCCACCCCCAGCCTGGCTGGCACTTCCCTGGGTACGCCCACCCGCAGCCTGGCTGGCAGCTTCCCTGGGTACCCCCAGCCGCAGCCTGGCTGGCACTTCCCTGGGTACCCCCACCCCCAGCCCAGCCCAGCCAGCACAGTGCTCTCACCTGTCTCTTGGCCAGCGATCTGGTAGGTGATCTCTGCATGCTCCCATTCCCCTCTGAAATTGGGCGGCAGGCAGGGGCTGAGTAACTCCTGCCTGTCTCTGGCTGAAATGGAAAGGTGAGCGCCAGAGGACGCACAGGGCACTGCAGTGCTGTGCGGCGGTGTGCCAGACTGAGACACATGCCTCCTCCTGCCTACCGCGTGGGGTGCTCCCATGGGGGGTGACATTCCCCCCTACCCTGGCAGCACGGCTGCTCTGTGATTTTCTGCAGCTCATGTCCCCTGGGGACCTGGGGATTCCAGGCACTGGACAAGCTATTGGGTCAAGGGTTCCCACCACCCCATGGGAGGAGGGCTGTCATCGCCAGCACACAGCAGGGAAGCCAAGGGCCCAGCACTGGCCCGGGAAGCTGGGAGCTGGTCTCCAAGGCTGCTTTTGGGGGCCCCCAGGGAGAGCTGCTCTCCCAGCCCTGGGGTCCAGCTGGGTCTGCGCTGCAGGTGGAATGCACAGGATGTCGAGGCTGTGACTTAAGGGCAGCCTGGAGCTCCCCGGCTGGGGTGAGGCCTTGTGGAGAGGCAAGACGCAGACACAGGCTCCTGCTACCCCCACAGCAGCCACAGAAGCCCCAGGACCTCTGGCGGGGACGGTGGGGGAGGTGAGGCCAGCCTCATGTGCAATCACTGGACACCCAGCAAATGACTGCTGTCGGCTCCTGTGTCACTCTGACCGGGGCCAGTCCACCATTCGGCAACAGATACCAAAACCACTGGGCTGGCGACACAGCCCCCCAAACGCCTCAGCAATGCTTTCTGCAGGAAGACCCTGCATCTGCGGGGCTAGGGGAGAAGAGTTCGCACACCCGGGCCCAAGCCGAGAGCCACAGGCGGCCCTGGGGGTCTGAGCAGTGCCTGCCCTCACTGCATGGACATGGTTTCCCTTTGCTGTAAGGCGGAGACCACCAGTTGAGGAGTGACACTAGGACTGGGAAGGAAGAATTGAAACAGGACATGTGTGGTAAAATGCCAACTCCTCAGGAACACACTGCTTTGCAAGAGCCAGGCTGAGTGTCAGAGGGCGGGTGCAGTGGGGGCAGGGAGGCCGAGGTCCTCGGAGACGCTCTGCGTGCGTGGGAGGACTGGCTGATGCTTCCACAGGGGTCCCAGCGATCGCCAAGCCCCCAGTGTGTCCAGGCAAGGTCACGAGGCTCACGGGATGGAGAGCAAAGGCCTAAAAGAGCTGGGCTCCATCCCGGCCACCCAGCACGTCTGGAAGGAAGGGCCAAGCTCAGCTTTTTAGGATCCTTTAGAGAATAGGGGATGCTGAGGAGGGCACTGTCCAAGGCTGGAATCGCAACAAAGAAAACTTGCCGTGTCCTGACAGCAATGGCCCCAGCACCCCTCTGCAGGGCTCTCTCGCCCACCCTAGATCGAGGTTCTCTCTCCAGAGTCCTAAAAACACAGCAAGCACGAACGTGGGTGACAGTGGGCTGCGAACACGCTCCAGCTCAGCCTCACAAACAGCTTTACCTAAGTCTCTTCAACAGACACAACTGAGAACGCAGAGTTCACCCCTCCATGTCCCTGCCAGGGTGCCACTACAGGATCCGGGTCATGTCCCTTGCGGCCAGCAGCAGCTCCAGCCTGGGCAGGGCAGCGAGCACCTGCTGTGGGAAATCCTTTCTGAGGCTGAAGCCGCCACCCTCCCGGAAACAGGCCGTGGCCTCGAACGCTACTCACCAGGCTTCCCCTCCACACCACCCAGGATGGCTAGCCGTGCCGACATCAGCCCGAGCCCCAGGTAGCTGTGGAGACAATGCCAGGGGGATGCGTGTCGGCCTACCAGGGCGGGACCCAAGTGGGAAGGGTGGCGCTTGTGCCAAGGCAACAAACGGGCTGGTGGAGCTCAGAACTCTCAGTTAAATGACCGAGGGCGGGTCAGGGCTGTGGATGCTGTGTTAGTGATGGAGGGGACACGGCTTTCCATGGAGAGCTTGGGTGTCTCCAAGCAGGAAGGCAGGCAGAGGGAGGAGGAAGTGGCAGGAAGGCCTGGGTTCCCAGGCCGGCAGCAGGACAGGGTAGGGCCCCCTTCCCTGACTCCCCAGCACCAACCTATACGAGTAGAGGCGGAAGGTCCTGTTGAACATGTGCAGGGCAGTCAGGTGGCCGGGCGGGGAGCTCTGCAGGGTGCCCTAGGAGGGAGGAGCTTGTTTCCCACTGTTCTCTCCAGCACAGCAGTGTGCTTCCTACCCACTCGACTCGCTGGGAAGAACGGGGACAGGTCTAGGAGGTTCCCATGGTGACAGAAAAGGAAGTGGGGTGGGCAGTGAGAAGAACAAGGCAACTCCTTTCAAAGGACATTTCCCTTGTTCAGCTGACATGGCCAGCTGACGCTCCAGCTCACATAGTGGTGGGAGCACACAGGGCTTTGTGTGAGGTCGGGTCAACCTGGAGGGGTCAGTGGTCTCAGATGGAACACTCGGGGCATTCGGTCACTTCCTACCTGCCCACCTGCAGAGCAGAGGAACCATCCTCTTCACTGTCTTTGGCTCAAAGGATGCCAGTCCTGCCTAACTGATCACCCCACTAATGGCGAGGTGTCTGGGGTGGGCACTGCAGTATAGCAGGTGAAGCTAGTGTACATGGATGCTGCTTTGTGTCCTCGCCACTCTGCCCCTGCTAATGCTCCTGAGAAAGCAGAGGAGGACGACCCAAGTGCTGGCCCGAGGCTGGGAGACGCTCCTGCCCTCAACCTGGCCAGCCCTGGCCCTTGCAGCCACTTGGGGAGCGAACCCGTGCATGGTTGACCTGTTTCTCCCCATCTGTAACTGTGACTTACAAATAAACAAACCTTTAAAACAGCTATGACAAAAGATCTATTTTCAGCTTCTGTTTTCTGTGCAGGAGGCTTTAGGAGCTAACACACCTGGCGCTCAGTGGGCTCAGGGGGCGCGCAGGACTTTGGCTTCTCCAGGCTCCCACGGGGCAGGGCCTGGAGGCAGGGGGGAAGTGGGGCTGGGTACCTCCACGCTTGGCAAGAAGGTGATTTGGGTGGATCCTCCGCCCAGGTCCAGCATGCCCACGCTGCTCCTCCCTGGGGTCTTCAGGCTGCCTGGGGAATGGCAAACACATGGCAGTCGTGTGAGAGCAGTGCAAGATCAGAAACAGCCTAAATGCCAGCACCTTAATGGAGGGGCAATCAGGCCTAGACGTAGCCAGAGCCGGGTCAACATCTCTATTTAAAGGCACACTACGCATCTGAGGAAGAGCTCACTGGCTCAGGTGGCCACCGGGCAGGGACAGGTCGGCCAAGTCCCCAGGGCTCACCTGGCAGGCAGACCCTGAGTCTGATGTTCCCACCAGGGTCCCAGCCCCGTCTCCACTCCCCAGGAGCACCAGAGGCAGAGGCCCCTGATGGCTCACTCCATCTCTCTCCACTTCCTGGCAGGAAATGTCTTTTTCTTGCTTATATCAGACACGCTGCCCCTCCTACAATTCCAGCAAAGGGACAAAAAATCTAAGCAAAATGAGCCCATCACAGGAGCTGACATTTCTGTCACCTTCTGTTTTCCTGGCAGAGGATTCTCCCCTGTAAGGTGGTTGGCATCACACACTACTTGGTACTCAGAGACAACACAAGTTTCCTTTACTGCCTTGTTCACAAGTAACGCAATGGGGCCCCGGGGTAGAGCAGGTGGTCTGCAGGAGGCAGATGGGGGCCAGAGCGGCCAGGAATGAGCTCTAGTATACACACACCTGTCAGTTTGCTTCTGCCTTGAACCGGGAAGACACCTCCATCTATCCCCATCAGCCTGCTTTGGGCCAGCAACACTGTGAGACCCCAAGGTGCTACTGGAAGAGGTAGCAATGGGGACCTGGTTCCCCAGGAAGCCCTGCCCAGCCCCCTGTCGCAGGTGGCGTTCATCTGTTGGCCTTTGCCATGCTGTGGATACACACCTGTTAGGAAGTTGACAGTGATCCATGCAGAGACGCCTGCAAGAGAGACCATACTGTAAGCTCGGGGGTGCAACACAGACCCTCCTCACCCACTCCCTGCAGAGGGGCGCTGCTCGGAGGCCCATCCAGAGGCTCCTGACAGACTGCTCTAGTGCACATGGCACTCAACCTTTTGTCCCAAGGCCGTCTCTGATGTGTCAGCACCAGCTGCTTGCTTTGGCTCCTTCCTCCCACACAATAGTGCCTCCAGAGGCAGCTTCGGGACTAGGCCTGGAGCAGGTGCTGCCCAGACACACGCTCTGGATGCTAAGAGGGTGAATGGCAGCTGGGCTGGCACTGCAGCGTTGTCCTTGCCCGTCTCCCTCCCTCCAATCACAGGGACAGTATGCCCAGCTGGCACGAGGAACCCTGCTGCACTGCAGCAGCCCCAGAAATGTGGGCAAGTCACTATACCTTCATCCGTCCCATTCATGATGGAGACGCAGTCATCCTCCACCAGGAAAGGTGACGCCCTAAACACCTCCTCCACCTGCAAGTACAGAGATACTGCTTCAGAGAGCCAGGCACGCCATGCCCCCGCAGGTGGCTCCCTGAAGTCGGCTGTGGTCCTGGCTCTGCCGGAGGGGGCCTCCCGTCTCACTTCTCAGGGCTGCCCTGGTGATCTGCCCAGGAGAATGGAGCGGGTGGGCTGGGCTGGAGCACAGGGAGCCTGCTGGGTTTCCAAACGCCATCATGATTGAGAGGGATGCGAGAGGAAAGGGCAGACATCCCTACCAGGTAAAATGTAGGGACACCTGCTCAGCCTGGAGATCCCCGCTCCAGCAAGCCAGGTGAAAAGAGCCTAGCACCAGGGCTCTTTCCCAGTCTCTGGGTCTCTGGACACACAGCTGTGTCCCCGTGGTCTGACTGTGGGGCTATTGGTGGCACCTGTGTCCCCGTGGTCTGATTGTGGGGTTGCTGGTGTGGGAGTGGTTAGGGAACTGGACACGCACCTGTGTCCCCGAGGTCTGACTGTGGGGCTGCTGGTGGCACCTGTGTCCCCATGGTCTGACTGTGGGGCTGCTGGTGGTACCTGTGTCCCCGTGGTCTGACTGTGGGGCTGCTGGCATGGGAGTGGTTAGGGAACAGGGCAGGTGATGCAAAGGAATGTCCTTTCCCAGTCTTGGTGCAAAGTGTGGGCAGCTGTGGCCATGAAGCACCTGGGCACGCAGGGCTGGCAGAGATACACCAAGCAGGTGGGCATGCAGCACCACTGGGGTCCAACAGGGCTATTGCCCTCCAGGTGCAGGGAGAGCTTTGAAAGAATGTTGCACTTTTAGAAGCAGCAGCAATTTTCCTTAGCATAAACATGGATTCACTATGGGAAACATGGATTCAGTGTCACCAGGACAAAGTCCTGCACCGGTGGTGGAGCTGCTGCCAGCATCATTTCCGAGGGGCAGGGCCCTGTCCAGCCTGGCTGTGGCTGGGAGGGCTTTACCGGGGTAGGGCTCACCTTCGGCAGCCAGGAGGGCTTCTCCAGGGGTAGGGCTTACCTTCTGCAGTAGCTTCTGGGCCTTCACTCCTGGTAACAGGCGCAGGCCGGCCGTGGCCTTGAGCACCAGAGGGGTGGCCTTCCAGAAGTCAAACGGGATGTCCTGCTTGGCGACATCCAGCAGCTCCTGGATTCCCTGGGCGCTCTGTGGGCATCGCAGAAGAAAAGCAGGCCTGTGAGATCCCGGCCCTGGCAGTGACTGCTGGTCCACTGCGGCTGGCGTGCGACACCCACACCCAGCCCCAATACCAAGCCTCATGGGTCCCAACTGGATGCTGGCCCTGTATCCCGTGAATCTATACAGAGGAACCCGGATGCGGGTGAGCCAGTGCTGTGCAGGTGGCGGGCGGGAGACGAGCTGGCAACGTGAGCCTTGGCCTTGTCCATCAGGGACAGCGTTCCAGGCATGTGCAGGTGTACCAGTCAAGGTCGCAAGCAAGATGAAGTGGGACAGAACAGACTTCCTCACAGACACGTGGACAAGCTCGTGAGGCTGTGGCAGAAGGCAGCCTGCAGGGGAGGGGGCTGCCACCCTGTCTGTGTGGCTTGCACCTCGTCGCCCTGAACGTGTGTTTCACCTGCTCAGCCGATGGGAGTTGAACACTCCGAGTTCATGCCAAAGACATCTAATGAGTTCTCATCTGATGGCTAATGTAGTATCACTGATTTCAACATTTTAAGTAAATTTGCTTGAAAGACAGAGTCACAAAGAGTGAGTGAGGCACAGGGGGAGACACAGTGAACCTTCCATCACTGCCTTCCACTCACTCCCTAAATGGCCTCATTGGTCAGGGCTGAGCCAACCACAGCCAGGAACCTGAGCCAGGAACCTGAGACCTTGCAGGTCTCCCCTGTGGGTGCAGAGCCCCAGCACAGGGGCCATACGTGATCAGGGAGCTAGACTGGAAGTAGAGCAGCCGGGGCTTGAACCAGTATCCATATGGGATGCTGGCGTAGTGGACGGCAGCCTAACCTACATTCAGTGTCCTACCCACCAGTGTTTTAATATTTATTTTCACCTACTTTAAGGACAAAATAACAGAGAGAACAAATACCATGAGACAAAGGGAGGGAGGGAGGAGAGAGAGAGAGAGAGAAAGAGATTGTTTTTTCCTTTACTGGTCTACTCCCCAAATGCTGGTGACAGGCCAGGCGGGGGCCAGCTGAAGCCAGCGCCCTGGGACTCCGTCGGGGTGTCTCCTGCGAGGGGCCGGATCTCTGGCATGTGAGCCATCAATTACTGTTTTCCACGATGCGTGAGGCGGAAGCTGGCTCCGAAGCGGAGATGCCAGGATTTGATGTGGAGGCGGTCGGTTAGCACAGGCAGCGGCTACACCCACTGCACCACACTGCCTGCCCAGCAACTGGAACTGGAGCTAGCTGAGCAAGTTCCCACTCTCAGCAGCCTCAGGCCGCCCTATTCTGACCTGCAGGACACGGGAAGTGTCCCTGTGTCCAGCACACTCACACTGCGAGCACTGCCAGCCGTTCGCTGGGCTGCAGGGTCAGCAGTCATACTGTTATGGCTCTGCGGTGCTCATGTGCAAGCAACCCTCGTATTATTTCACAGCAGTTCAAGGCACCCCAGCACGGATGCTGGTCGTCCGGGCACGCCCAAGAGAAGCTGTAACCCGAAAACAACACACGGGCGGGTGCTAAGATCCATGGTGAGGAACAGATTTTCTGGGAAGAGCATTGTGGTGTAACAGGTTAACTGCAAGCTGTGGCACGTGGCACTGGGATCTCATACGGTGCCAGTTCAAGTCCCAGCCACCACTTCCACTTGTGATCCAGTTCTGTTGTGGGAGAATTCTCTGGGGAAGCAGTGGAGGATGGCCTAAGTCCCTGGGACTCTGCACTGACGTGCACACCTGGAAGCTCCTGGCTCCTGGCTTCGGATCAGCTCAGCTCCAACCATTGCTGCCACTTGGGAGGTGGAGCAGAGGATCCAAGTTGCCTCTCTGTGTAAATCTGCTTTTCCAATAAAAATAAACAAATCTTAAAGACCACAGCATGTGGCAAGGGCTCAGTCTCGATGGGAAAGGCATGAAGCCACAGAGTTTGGTGCTATTGGGATTTCAGGCATCCCTGGGGGGGCTTGTAATGTAACCCTGCAAATGTGAGGGGGGCTATGGCACATATGCTGAGACCGCATCTGTGGTCCCTGATTCAAGCAGTGCACCGGGAGGCTGGGTGTTGGGGTGCAGTGGGATAAGCCACTGCCTGTAAACCAGCATCTCACACTGCAGGGCCAGCTTCTGATCCGGCTCCCTGCGAATGCTCCTGGGAAAGCAGCAAAGGATGACTCAAATGCTTGGGTCCCTGTACCCACACGGCAGAGCTGGCTTCCATCTGGCTCAGCCTGGCCTGGGGAGTGAACACTGGATGCAAAATGTCTTTCTCACCCTGCCTTTCAAATAAAACAAATGTTTAAAAAACAAACAACCCACCCACCCAAAAAGACATATCTAAATGCCCAGGAACCCATTGAGCAGCCAAGCACACGAATGCTGTGGTGGACAAGTAGCTGTCTCACGTTAGTGCAGCCAGAAGCTCAGACCTCAGACCTTCCAGTGCTAACACGCTTAGGAAACTCACAATATGACAGAACAAATTTCTTTTGGGCTTATTCAGTCCTGTGGACCTTGTTCATGTGCATTTTTTTTGGTTGTTGTTGTTCTAGCTTCAATTGTAGCTGCTCAAAAGCATGAGAATTGTGTGTCATTCACAGAGTTAAATTAGCCCCAAATATCTGAACGCACAAATGTTCACGCGAGCTTTTCCTGTCGGTAGTATCTGTGCTTCCCAGCTGCATCAAGACCTGGGGGTGGGTCTGCCCTGGACGTTGCTTGTATGCTGCGGGCAGCGCCTCTTGGGGAGGTACAAGCTGTCCACGTCTCTCTCCCACCCATCCTGACTGGCAGGGGATGTCTTCCTCCCAGGCAGCACACAAGGAGACAGAGCCGGCGAACAGACAGGGCAGGGGGCTCGTCACCTTGTCCACATCATCAGCGTAAGCAGAGAGGCCTGGCTTCAGTGCTTTGAAGGTTTCGTGGGTCAACGTGGGAGTTTCTAGAGCGGAAACAAAGAAACAGTCATGAATGTTCCATGAAGGTCTGACCACCCCTCTGACCACCACACCTCAGACACGGGGAGAGCTGAGCACACAGCCCACCCCCATGACGGGCACCCCTCTAACCGTCACACCTCAGACACGGGGAGAGCTGAGCACACAGCCCACCCCTAGAGGGCTGTGGTTTTGCCTATTTCAGCTTCTTTAACTCAGCACAACAGGATAAGTGGGATACTTGGTGTTGGGATGGGACTTTGCCCTGCTCCCAGAACTTATTCATTTACAAGGCTGTGTGGGAATAGTTAAAGACAGAGAGGCAGAGTAGCCATCCCGATTCACTCTTCAAATGTCCAAAACCACCAGGACCCGGGATGAGGCTGCGAGCTGAGAATGCAACCCAGCTCTCCCACCCGTGAGGCAGGGATCCAGGGCTGGACCCAGGATGAGGCTGCGAGCTGAGAATGCAACCCAGCTCTCCCACCTGTGAGGCAGGGACCCAGGGCTGGACCCAGGATGAGGCTGCGAGCTGAGAATGCAACCCAGCTCTCCCACCCGTGAGGCAGGGACCCAGGGTTGGACCCAGGATGAGGCTGCGAGCTGAGAATGCAACCCAGCTCTCCCACCCGTGAGGCAGGGACCCAGGGTTGGACCCAGGATGAGGCTGCGAGCTGAGAATGCAACCCAGCTCTCCCACCCGTGAGGCAGGGACCCAGGGCTGGACCCGGGATGAGGCTGTGTGGGAACAGGCAGGGACCTGGGGCCATTGCTGCTGCTTCCCAGGGCGTGCACTGGCAGGAGTTAGGAGCAGGGACCACACTCAGGCCCTCCCACACATCATACAGATGCTTTAATCCAGATTTGCTTATTTGAAAGTTAGAGCGAGAGAGATCTGCCATCGGCTGGTTCATTTCCCAGATGACTGCAACAGATGGAGCCAGGAGGTTCATTTGGGTCTCCCATACAGGGGCAGGGCACAAGCACTTGGGCCAAATTCTGCTGCTTTTTCTAGGCTATGAGCAGCGAGCTGAATTGGAAGTGAAGTAGCCAGGACAGGAGCTGGTGTCCATATGGGGTGCTGTTACCTCCGGTGACGGTTTGATGCACAATACCACAATGTTGGGCCTCTAATCAGCTTCTGAACCACTGGTCTAAATGTGGGCCCTGTACATTAAAAAAAAAAAAATCAACTGCCACCCACACATTTATATATCAAAAAACTGCATCTTTTAAAGTGTTACATCTCAACATAGTTCATTCTTGAACATAGGAGGGTAATTTCAACTTGTGAATACAAACACTCTCTCTAGATGTGGGCAGGGATGCATTACAGCAAACATCCAGACATTTCTCGTAGTTTTCAAACAGCGAATGGTGGGGGCTGGTATTGTGTTGCAGTGAGCAAAGCTGTGCCTTGCAATGCCACCATTCCATACAGGTGCCAGTTCGCACCCAGCTGCCCACTTCCGATCCAGCTCCCTGTTAACAGCTCCCTGCTAACGCACCATGGAAAGCGGTGAAGGTTGGCTCGAGGGCTAGCGTCCCGCACACTCAGTCGGGAGACCTGGAAGAAGCTCCTGGCTTCCTGCTGGCTCCAACCTAGACCCTTGCGGCCAGCTGGGGAGTGAACTAGCAGATGGAAAATCTCTCCATGTCTATCCTCTCTCTATAACTCTGCCTTCCAAACAAAATATACATGCATGCACACACACACACACACACACATATATATATATATATAAAGCAAATGGTTAAAAATCAGAAGCAGTCTGGACTCCCATGGCTAAGAAAGGAAAATTAGGGCAGAGAAAGGAAAAAAGAGAGGGAGGGAGAGAGGGAGGGAGAAAAGACTTTCCCAAAGACCTTTTTCTCATTGGAAGATGAGATGCTGGGGTCTATCTGTTGAAGGGCACATGCTGCCGTGGGCCCAGCTGCAATTACATTCAAAAACACATAGTATCCACAGAATGATCTAGCATAACAGGTGACATTGGGAGCTCGGGGTGCCCAGTTCCAGCAGAGCAGGGAAAACTACCACTGTGTCCAGCTGAAGGTGTGACACATTGGCCAGTGCTGTGGCAGTGCTGTGTTGGGCAGCTGCTTGCAGTGCCAGTACCCCTTAAGGGCACCAGCTAGAGTCCCAACTCCTCTAATTCCGATCTAGCTCTCTGCAGATGCACCTGGGAAGGTGGCAAAGGGTGCCCAGGTGCTTGGACCCTGCCATCCACACAGAAGACCTGGTTTCAGGTTAGTCCTACCCTGGCCAGTGCAGCCATTTGGGAAGTGAACCAGTGGATGGAAGATCTCTGCTCCAGAAGGGACAGGGAGGAAACGAGTTCCTGGGGATGAGCCTCCACGTCCAGTGCCAGCTGCCCACAGTGGGCGATAAGTCCCAGCTGCTCTCTGCCTTCCCCCACCTCGACCTCCTGGCTGTGGCTGAGCAGGTGACCCAGCTCCAGGACCTGGGCAGGGGCCCCAATCTCAGCACTGATGCCCTTGTTAGCTCCCCACTGTCCAGATCTCCGACAGCAGGTGGACAGGCAACCTCACAGCCTCTTGGCTGCCCTGCTGTTGTGGTCACCGCTTGCTGATCTAAGAACAACGTGGCAGTCCCTTGCCCTGTAAGGAACTCAGCTATCTTCAGGACCCCAGGGGAGCCTGAGGCAGGGCTTCTAAGCTGGTGGGAAAGAGTGGAGGGCCGAGGACTCTGAGGCCAGAATACCTCCAGGCAGCCGTGCAAACTGGAAGACGTGGATGCGTGTACCAGTGCTTCCGGCATCAAACATGATCCCATAGAAGACCTCAAGGTCCCGTGCCGCTGCTGCTGTCTCCGGAGCGCTGTGGGCCTGCGGACCCCAGGGGGCACCCGGGGCCATGCCAGAGATGCTGAAGAGAGCCTGGGTGGTGGAAGCCCGGTGCCATTTGATGTAGACGACGTAGATGAAGAGGCCCACGCACAGTCCCAGCGGGTACATGACCCTGGTCATGCGCAGTGTCCCATGGCTGGGTAGTTTTCTCATTTCTCTGCCTGCTTGGCACCCTGCTGCAGCAGCTGGAAGAACAGGAGCAGAGACAGGAAGGAGTTTGGTGAGGAACCACCCTGCATCCCCTGCCTGTCGCCACCGCACCCCCAACTCCCGGCCTCATTGAGTCCTTGCAGTGGGTCTGACTGAGGTCTCACACCCCTTGTGAGTGCTGGACTGAGCAGGCTACAGCTGCTGGCCATTCCAAACACACCCACTGTCACAGTGCTCACTCATGAGGTGACCCACGGCCCGTCCCTCCAGCAACCGCAGAGAGCCAGGGATAAAAACCAATGTGACAGGGCCCGGCGGCGTGGCCTAGTGCCTAAAGTCCTTGCCTTGAACGTGCCAGGATCCCATATGGGTGCCAGTTCTAATCCCAGCAGCTCCACTTCCCATCCAGCTCCCTGCCTGTGGCCTGGGAAAGCAGTCGAGGACGGCCCAAAGCTTTGGGACCCTGCCCCCGTGTGGGAGACCCTGAAGAAGTTCCTGGTTCCTGGCTTCGGATCGGCATAGCACCGCCATTGTGCTCACTTGGGGAGTGAATCATCAGATGGAAGATCTTCCTCTCTGTCTCTCCTCCTCTCTGTATATCTGACTTTCCAATAAATAAATAAATCTTAAAAGCAAAACAAAACAAAAAAACAACCAATGTGACAAAAGCAGAAAACCAACAAACCCTGAAACGCAGCTCCTTTTCCCTGGCAGGTTCCTAACAGATGGTTCCTTTCATCCACCCAGCGTGTTCCTGCCAATGGGGACCCACTGGCCTGGAAGCCAAAGCTATTAAGGATTCTATCAGAGTAGCTCAGCAACGCCATCTGCGGTTCAGTGTGCACCAGAATGAATACCTTTGTTCTGGTGTTGCAAGTGGCTCCTGGGACAGGGCAGTGTGTGGGAACCAGGACAAGCAGCAAGCAGCTCACTGGGAACCCGTGTCCCTTCCTCCCTTACGCTCAGCCACAGGAGCAGTGGCCATTCCTACTGGGGCAAGGTGCTGTGGGTAGTGGCTCGGTGGCAGTGTGTCCTGGTGGGCAAGTGGCTCTGGAGGCACAGGGACCCCTGGGCCACACCTGATGCACTGCCAGGTCCTTCTCTCCCACGGTATCCCTTCCTTCACTTCAAATTCCCCTGTCCTGCTTTGAGACTCAAAGCAATCTCTCAATCAGAGACTCACTGTTGCAATGAGGCAGCAGCAGGACCACTGGCCCTCAGGATCTGTGGACACAGACCTGCGCGCTCTGTCATCTCTCCCGCAGTCCTGAGTCTGGAGGGTAAGCTCTAGATCCTGAGCAGGGAGTAACCTCCCTCTGTGTGTGGCCCCTGGACTGAGCAGGGCTTGCTCTGCCATCATCAGAACCCTCTCAAGAAGGGCCGTGAACACTGCACACCCATCAGGGACTTGGCTCTGACCGGAATGTGCACCTCTCAGCCCCAAGCACTCGTGGGGCCCTGTGGGGTGCAGGACTGCAGCTACGGTGCAGCTCCTCATTGTGTGTTTTGCAATGAGCACTGTCTTCTTCCCGCCTTGCTGGTGCTGTGTCTGGCTTGCTACACACAGGGGGAGTGCACCCAGTGCTGGGAGTCCTGCAGCAGCTGCTTCATCTGTCAGGGGCCTGACACTGCCTGCAGATGTGAAGATGCGCACCAGATGCAGGCTTGTGCAAGTGTGGCCAGAGGCCACACAGCGGGGGATCAGGGACAGAGACGGGTTGGAGGATGCTCAGGAATGGCCACACTGCGGGGGACTGAGACGGGCTAGAGGATGCTTGGGAATGGTCACGCCAGGGACAGTGAGCTGGAGGACGCTTGGGAATGGCCACGCCAGGGACAGTGAACTGGAGGATGCTTGGGAATGGCCACACCAGACACAGTGATGGGCTGAAACACACTTAGGAATAAATCAAAGAGGTCCTGCAGGGGTTTTCCTTGGCCCCTCCTCTCTGAGTTCCCGCTGCACACGCACCAGTGGCCTCTGGCCCCTGGAGCTGAGGTTCGACAGTCACCGTTCTGGCTGACAGGCCGGTCCCCAGGCTGCAGTCCCAGTAGTCCAGCCAGCCAAGCTGGGCAGGCGCCTGGATGGATTTACACTCCACAAGCACCTGCTGCAGGCAGGCCTGTAGGGATCTGGGGACAGGCCGTCTCTGCTGGGCCCCGCTGTGGCCTGATTCTGGGTCTCCTTAGGGTCCGACTGCTCTCAGGAAGACGCTGTGACTCCGGCCCAGGTGTGGCCCCTGCAGCTCACCCTGACTCCAGGTGCCCCCAAAGCAGTGTCTCCTCCTGCTCGAGAACTTGGCAGGACATCACCTGCACACACAGTCCAGCAATGACTGTGCCAGAAGGGACATGGAGGAAACGAGTTCCTGGGGATGAGCCTCCACGTCCAGTGCCAGCCGCCCACAGTGGGCGATAAGTCCCAGGTGCTTCCTGCCGATGGCCTGGGAAAGCGGTGGAGGATGGCCCAGTTCTCGGGTCTCTGTCCTCCATGCGGGAGACCCAGAAGAAGCACCTGGCTTCAGCTCAGCTCAGCTCTGGTTCTTGGGACCATCTGGGAAATGAACCAACAGATGGAAGACCTCTGTCTCTCCCTCTAACTCTGCCTTTTAAATAAATAAATAAAAAGTCTTAAGGGGGAAAAGGAAAATAGCTTCCTTTACAACAACACTTTAAAGAACAAAACACTGAGGAGTAAGCTGACAGAGGGCGTGAGAATCTCCTACACTGAGAACTATGGGATACGTGACAAAATCAAGGATGATGCAAGCCACTGGCGATCTCGGTTCCATGCACTGGAGGACCTGGGCTAACAACACTATCAACCAACACAACGCCATCAAATGCCTTAGACATTTTCTTCCTCTCTCTCTCTCTCTTTTTTTAGAAATAGAACAGAAAGATCCTAAAATGATTTTCAAGACACTAAACTGCTCAAACCATTGATAAACAGAATGGGGTGCCTCACACATTCTAACTCGAAAACATGCTCCAAACAGTTTGGTACCAGTGTAAAGACTTCTACGCTGAAGCCAACGAAACAGAATGGAGATTCACAGCATGACGTCGTACGGATCTGGGCAACGAGGGCGCCAAAGCCACAGAGCCAAGAAGGCAGTCACCTTCACAAACGATGCCAGGAAAGCTGGCCGCATGAAGGAGCAGACTAAAGGCCCACATGTAAGACCCAAAACCTTAACATTCCTACAAGGCGACATAGGATGAAAGAGTCCTGACATTGAATCTTGGTAGTGACTCCTCAAACAGGACAAGAAAAGCAACAGATGTCAGTGGGATTACACGAGAAACCTTCTCTCAAAACAAAAACACGACCCGTGGAATGGAGGAGATACGTGTAAGTGAAGTCAAGCGCAGCCGTGCCCCATCCTTGGGACACACGCTTCAAGGCTCTCCCTGTTGGATGCCTGAGGCCACAGGTGCTCTGGCGCCCCAGGAATGCAGTTCTGAATCACTTGATGAGGGTGGCATGTGCCAGGGATGTCCAGGCAGTGCAGAGCGCACAGACACGGAAATGTCACAACTTCTGAACTGGTAAATCATCTTACCTACACGACCTGCCATCGCAAAAAAAGGTTACACAACACACAACTGAACTCCATTTCCGTCTGCAGTAAAGTTTAACTTGTAATAGTCTCAGAAAGATTAGACATACCAGTAAGATGGAACTTGTACGATATCCTTAATAAAAGCCACAGGAATATGGCCTTTCTCAGAACTTGCTACGATCTTCGTGTCTTCAGTAGATGATTTCTGTTTTCTTTCCTAAGTTGACACTGTGATCTTTTCAGAAGAAAAAAACAACCTTGCAGCTTCTTTGGCACATCCGGATCGCCAGTGCTGTGGGGCCACCTTGAAGCATACAAGCACTGTGACACAGGACAGCTAGGGCTCCAGCACTACCAGCCACAGAGTGACCAAAGAGGGCCGTGCATGCAATGTGGATTTGCAGGGCCACGAGATGGTGCAAGATTTTGTCACAATTTCACAATTCAAACTTTATACAGGGTTTATTTCAGGAATTTTCTACTGCCGTACTTTTGGACCACAATGGAACCAAAACTTCAGGTAAGGGGTGATTGCTCTTTCTGATCTAATCAGGGGTTTATGATGAGAACATGGAAAGAACTCCTCAAACTAAAAAAATAAATCTGCAACCAGAAGAGGGTCAGCACTGTGGCAAGGCATCCTAAGCCTCCCCTTGCAGTGCCGGGATCCCACAGGGGTGCCGGTTTGTGTTCCAGCAGCTCCACTTCCCATCCAGCTCCCTGCTTGTGGCCTGGGAAAGCAGTCAAGGACGGCCCAAAGCCTTGGGACTCTGCACCTGCGTGGGAGACGTGGAAGAGGCTCCTGGCTCCTGAGTGGCCAGCTCCAGCTATTGCGGCCATTTGGAGAGTGAACCAGCAGATAGAGATCTTTCTGTCTCCTTCTCTCTGTAATTCTGTCCTCCTAATCAAAACAAACTGATCTTAAAAAAGAAAAGAAAAGAAGCCAGCAGGTGTCGGTGAGGATGTGCACTGCACTGTAATGGCACAGCTGCTGCAGAAAGCACGGCTCATCTCCCACAGTCACGGCGGGGTCACCGCAGGATCCAGCATCACTCCCTCTGGGTAGGGGCCTAGAGGAACCGAACTCAGGATGTCCAAGATTTACCATGACACTCACGACAGACACGAGGCAGCAGCAAATCACATGTCCAGTGCAGACCAGGCAGACGTTAAACATGGGCTGCACGCCCACTGGAATGGAAATATCCAGTCTGAGAGGGACCTGTGGACATGTGCCACTGTCCAAGTGATGGATGTGGAAGGCCCTTTGCTGAGTGACAAGGACAAGCATAACCTTTCCAGGACAGAGATAGAAAACGGGCAGGCAAGGTGCTGTGGGGAGCAGACAGGGAGAATGTGGGAACAGAGCTCCCCTGGAGGCGGCGGTGATGCTGCCACCCTCTGTGGCTGTAACATATGACATGCTCTGTATGCTCATCTGTCAGTGTCCGAACAGGTGGGATGCATGCTTCTGCAAGTGCATGGTGCTGGGGGCAGTGCTGGGGCAGCACAGGGGCAGCGCTGGGGGCAGGAGGCAGTGCTGGAGGCAGGAGGCAGTGCTGGGGCAGCACAGGGGCAGTGCTGGGGACAGGAGGCAGTGCTGGGGCAGCACAGGGGCAGTGCTGGAGGCAGGAGGCAGTGCTGGGGCAGCACAGGGGCAGCGCTGGGGCAGTGCTGGGGGCAGGAGGCAGTGCTGGGGCAGCACAGGAGCAGCACAGGAGCAGTGCTGGGGGCAGGAGCAGTGCTGGGGGCAGTGCAGGGCTGTGCAGCGGCAGTGCTGGGGGCAGTGTAGGGCTGTGCAGGAGCAGTGCTGGGGGCAGTGCAGAGGCTGTGCAGGGGCTTTGCAGGGGCAGCGCTGGGGGCTTTGCAGGGGCAGCGCTGGGGCAGTACAGGGGCAGCGCTGGGGCAGAGCACCCTGCCCTCCAGCCCTCTGTACATCACTGCCAGACTCCCACTTCCATACTAAAGGACACTCGCTTGGGGGTCCATCCCCACTGGGTGCATGGCACCTCTCTGGGTACAAGCAGCAGCACTCTGATGCAACTGCTCAGCCAAAGCGTGCTGTTGTAGGAGGGCGGCTAATAGTGCAGGAGGAGGATGGAGGGCCCCACGGTGCTCCAGCACAGAGCAGAGACCGGCAACGACCTCAGTCGGAAATCGCCCCAGAAATAATCCTATGGTCTCACCACCATGAAGGCCTCTTCACACCACCAAGCTTCCTAACACATCCTGTGTTGCAATGAACAAGTCAGCAGCGGCTTAACCAAATGGCTCTGCTTTCAACGTGTCTACCCCTTTACAAACACCCTCCACCCAGCAGCTCCTGTGTCCGGCACCCCCAGAAACCGCTGCCCTCACTCCCCACTGGACTGCACCAAGTGCTGGGTGTGCTGGGCCAGGTACTTGCCTGAGGCTGTCCAGCTGGCAGGTGCTGCAGCAGACAGGGGTTCCTGGCCTGGGTCTCCAAGTCGAAGGCGCTTATCACTTCACTTTTCCTATAAACAGATGACCCCGGTTAGACAACCAAAAACGCTCAAGCCAACACCCACTTGGCCACTGAGCTTATCCAACAAGCCACCGCCAAATAGAACACAGAGCCACCTGGCCCATAGGTGCCCCACCCTGTAAGGCACCTGCTCCCAGGCCAGTGGTGGCTGGGCAGGGCGCAGGGTGTTGTCAGGGGGAGGGTGTCGTCAGGGCAGTAGCCTTCCTGTCCCACACAGCAGGCCAACTCCCAGTGGGGGACAAACAGGTGGCCTCTGGGGACAGCCAGGTCTAAGTGGTTTTGCCCGGAGGCTGCCCCATCTGTTGGCCACCTTCCTCCCAGGGTTACCCACGCTGAATACCCATGTAGAGAGATCCCAGCTGGCAAAGCTTACATGGCCTCCACCCAACCCCCTTTTCCAGGCAGGAAAATAAAATTTAAAACCCCACCCATGACTCAGCTGGGGCAAGCACCACCTGCTGCCAACAGTGGTGGTAGAGAAGGCATTTGCAGGCCTCCACCTGAGGCAAAACACTTCACTGCTCACCGGCTCTTTCAAGGATGGTAGCACTCTGCTACGATGGGGTAAGGGGGCTGCACCTTCATACTCACCACCTCCTCCGGGTGCCTCCCAGGGCATTCCCTGATCCACGTGGGCGGAGGGACCCCAGAACTGCCCAAGCACCTGCAGGTTGAGTGCCACCTGGGGATGGGTCCGCAGAGGGAAGGCCGTGACCAACCCGAGCCGGCTGTCTCCCAGCCTACCCTCACTCAACACCACCCCGCGGCCTCCGGCTGGCCCAACCCAGGGCAGCTGGGAGCCGGCTGCCCCGCCCCCGGCCCGGAGCCCGCAGGCGGAATGAATGGACCCCGAGCCTCCCCAACCCCCGGCCCGGCTCCCCCGGCTGCGCACCCACGGCTCGGCGGAATCCAGGCGCGAGGCAGCTGTCTGGGAGGGGGCGCGAGTGAGTGAGCGAGCCTGGCACACAGCTCGGCGCTCGGTGCTCGGCCGCAGGGCCGTCCGGGGCAGCGCGGGCCCTGTGCCACGGCACGGTACCGGGTGTGCAGGCGGCCCACAGACTCCCGGCTCCGGCTCGGCTCGGGACGCACGACCCGCCGAGCCCCGCGCCCGGCCCCGGCTTCGGTTCCGGGTCCCCGGCTCCGGCTCCCTCGACCAGGGGCGCACCACTCGCCGAGCCCCGCGCCCGGCCCCGGCTTCGGTTCCGGGTCCCCGGCTCCGGCTCCCTCGGCCCGGGGCGCACCACCCGCCGAGCCCCGCGCCCGGATCCGGACTCCCGGCACAGGATCCCTCGGCCCGGGGCGCACCACCCGCCGAGCCCCGCGCCCGGCCCGCGCGCAGCCGCGTCACGGCAGGCGGGGCCTCAGGCGGCGGCTCGCAGGCGCAGTGGCGGCGCAGGCGCTTCCCGCTGCGGGCGCCTCAGGGCGGGCGCAGAGCGGGCCGGCGTGCGACCTGGCGTGCGCCCTGGCGGTGCCCCGTGCCCTGCGTGACCCCGCCGTCTCACAACCTTAACCGACCTGTGGAATGTCCACCCGTACATTAAAATTTTGATTTGTAAAGGTTAACAGGTGATGTGTGACCCATTTTTCTGATCTCTTCGCCAGCCGCCACTGCAGTTGGCAGCCCCTTCCTTGCCTTGGGTTCCTGGGTGACTGAGGGACTGGTGTCCTCCCGCCCCCAGTCTAGCCTTGTGGCTGGGGACCCACGACGCCGGGTCCGGGCAGTGCGTGTGTCCTCGCTCGCTTGCTGTCAGGCTTTCCTGGGCACGTGGTCTCAGGTTTGAGACAGTGTTAAGAGGGAAGGGTGGACGCAGCGAGACGCCGTGTGTGTAAACCACACTGACACCTGACTCACGGGTGTCCACGGAGTTACCCTGTGACAGGTAGCCATGGGTACGTCTGGGGTGACGCTGCTTTCCCGTCCCAGGTCAGACCCCTGAGGTGGACCGTGACAGTGTTGGGAATAATTTTACAGAATCCTGAGAACCACTTTTGGCACACATTGGGGGTTATCTTTATAGGAAAAAGATGATTAAAAAAAAGATTTATTTTTATTGGAAAGGCAGATGATTCACTCCCCAAATGGCTGCAATGGCTGGCGCTGCACTGATCCAAAGCCAGGAGCCAGGAGCTTCTTCCAGATCTCCACACGGGTGCAGGGTCCCAAGTCTTTGAGCCGTCCTCGACTGCTTTCCCAGGTCACAAGCAGGGAGCTGGATGGGAAGTGGAGCTGCTGGGATTAGAACTGGTGTCCGCATGTGATCCCGGTGCGATCAAAGCAAGGACTTTGGCAATTAGGCTATCACGCCGGGCCTGGAAAAAATGATTTTTAAAATAAAGGTTGGATTTATTTGAAAGAGAGAGAAAGAAGAGAGAGAGAGACCCTTCCATCCATTGGGCCATGCCCTTGATGGTGGCAATGACCATGGTTGGGCTAGGCTGAAGCCAGGAGCCTTGAGTTTGACCCAAGTCTCCCGTGTGGGTGGTGGGAGCCCCGGGACTTGGTCTGGTTTCTGCTGTTGTCCCAGCCGTTAGCAGGGAGCTGGTTTAGAAGTGGGGTAGCTGGATCTTGAACTCAGCACCCATGTGGGATGCTGGTGTCACAGGTGGCACTTCTTATTGCTTCTACCACAACCCAGCTCTGGAAAGAAATCGTAGGAATGGAATTAGTCACAGTCAAGAATACTCTTTTTTTCTTAAACAATGTTCAATAAACATGGCTAAATTGTAGCCTTTAGACGTGGGGCTAATTTGCATTCCCACTAACAGTTAGCAATAGGACTTTCCCACGTGTTCACCAGTGGCATTCTTCCCAACCTTTGGATCTGCCAATCCAATCATTGGAAAACTATATCCAGGATCTCCCAGCGATGCATTTCCTTCCTGGAACTTGGCATACCCATCTGTTGGCTTGCTTGCTGGTAGCTTATTTGTTCTACCTCTGAAATGTAAGCTCTGGAGGGAAGGGCAACTGGTCCACTCTGGTTATTGTTAGCATTATATCTAACGCTGTCTGGTGCTGACAGGTGCCTTGGTGATGCCTTGGTGTCTGTGTCCCCACAGTCCACCTCTGACTGTCCAGTGGTGGGCACTTGCCACAAAAGCTGTTTGTCTCAGACATCTAGGAGCAAGCAGGAGCCTCAAGTTTCTCTGTCCCAGGGGCGACTGCAGGACAGTGTTGCGGAGAATGA